CAATAAAATATGATTTGATTTAATGATTAACGTAATTTTGGTTTTATTGTGTTTTTTAAAAATAGCTCACATTTGACTAATTTTCTTATCAATGTTGCTCAATTTAGAACGTCCACAAGATGAATGATTACTAACAACTCAAAATTTTTGTGCAGTACTAAAAGATATAAACTTCATGCTAGCAGACTAATATTGCATTAATTTTATTGAAAAGTTTGAATATTTGGCAAAATTTCTAAAGTTTATTTGTATCATGGTTGGAACTAGTTGTTTCCTGCATTGGTTGTCAGGTATGCTTCGGTATGTCTACAATTTCCTTCGCGCACAGCAACATAATTTTCTGTTTACTTTCCTCTTTACAACTTTCTTAAACAGAGCATAGAGGAAGTAGATGTGATTTGAAACATTGCATAATGGTTTTTGATCCAAGTCTCTTTAGACTGACTACTTTCCTAGGGGTTTCCGGAAATTAACTGGGTCCTGGCTATTCCTAATAACTGCCATTGAGCTGGTTGTTGAATTTTAATGTGATTCAATGGTTTTGACCATATTCAGAAACTGGCCGCTTTTCTGAGGGGATCGAAACATGGCCAGGTGTAGCAAATGTGGCACTGGACCCCACAAATAACTACCATTGAACTAATTGTTTAATTCTAATGTCGGAGACGAGCCAGCCAACGGCTGAAAGTCTCCTTAATAAAGATATAAAAAAAAAAATCTAATGTGATTTAGGTGTCACTTGGTAAGTTTTATTCGTTTGAGGTCGTAATTTGCCTCATGCCTCATACGAGCTTTTGCTCTGAATTTGAAATTCAATAATTGAATCCTCTTAATTTTCAATTAATGTTGTACTAAGCATCTACTTATTGGAAAATCAAATGTTTGATTTGAGAAAAGTCACAGTATTCTATTTTGCATCATTATACGAGCATGCTGTAAACTACATAATGATGATGCTTGATAATTTTATGTTAGGGTTGTCCACCAAATTGGAGAACAAATAAGTGCTTTAACCCCGTAGGATCGTTATACCGCTTCCTGCCCTACTTCGATGACAACATTTTGTTCAGTATTAATCATTTTGTTCGACCATTTTCCACAGAGATGGCGCTGTTCCACTGGTAGGAAGTGATAAAAGTCCCCATATAGAAATCGAGAGAAGTGGGAATAATTCGCTTTCGGTGCATGTTCAGGTCAAAAAAAGTGAACGACAACCTAAAGAAATTAGTCAGGGGCTTTGTCGTTCAGTTTTTTCCCGGAAATTAATGCTAAACAAGCTACACTTAAATAAAAATGATTTTTCCCCATTCAGTTTTACCTGTTTTACTACCAGTTCCAGAGAGCCAAAAATTCAAATTTGAGAGAGAAATTTTCTCTCACGAGCTCAATCTCTCAACATGCCATGTATTTTGTTGACACTCGATTTGTGATTTCCCTTTCACAGATTACAAAATAGAGTACCTGACACTACAAAACATGCCTGGTACCTCTATATATGCATTTGCTTTAACATTCGAAGTCCCTCCTTTTTTACAAATTCTGCGCAAAAGATACTTTATGCCCCGCCCCATACATAAAATTCGGAGGGAAATTCTGTGAGGGATGAGCTATTTTGTGTGCAGAATGTGTAAAAAAGGAGGGACTTCGAATAATAATCTAAATGCATATATAGAGGTACCAGACATGTTTTGCACTGCAGTGTCCTCTGTGAAAAATTATAGGAAAACAGATTGTGTCTAGTTTCCGATAGATGTCAACGCAAACAACAGCTGTGACATCTGATGGAACATGAATGCAGAAGCTTGACAAAATGATCAATTGAAAGTACCGTCTTCTGATAAAGAAAAAAAAACTGCCTGTTGCGTTATCATAAAATACAACCTTCGGTCTCTTCTCTGCTTCAGAGGCCTAATTTAAAACTAATGATGGAGCTATTGAAAATAATAACGTATTTTTTTAGGCAATTGATTTATCCCACAACATTTATGGCGTCTTTGTGGACTATACTGGGGGGCTACTCCAAAATATATAACGGCTTGCTTTGGACCCCACATTTGAATTTTCATAATTTATTACATTCCAGGAAAAATACTTGAACCAACATTGAACCATAACCACTAGCGTGCACAGGAATCTTGTTAAGGAGGGGCAATTTTTTTTCCAATGGTGCATTTAATCTGGGGATGGGGAGTACATCAAAGTGCGTGGTGGATACTGCTGTCCACCCACCTCTGTTTCCCTAGTGTTCAATTTAGCTAATTTTATTTATTTTTTGCTCCGGTGGTGGTTCATCTTCTGCAATGCAAACAGTTTTCAGATAGCCAATGGAATTGGCAATTTAATCTCATCGACGATGTCGATGATAATCGGTTCGTCAAATGGTTGCATTAGTAGGGCTTTAACCGAAATGATACTTAGACGAATTCTTAGTAAGACAACAATAGACCAAGGTTCAATGGAAAAATAATACCCACTTTTCAATTAGGGAATGCAAAAGCTGTCTTTAAACTTTGTACAGTTGCGAAAAAGCCCATCCTCAGAATTCCTTGAGGGTCCTTTCGAAATTTATTGAACTATATGAGCTCTTTTAAAATTCTACTCAGAAGTCCTCTGGAGTTATTTTTAGAACTCTTATTGACTTTTACTCAGAACACCTTCGAACTGAAATTCCCTTAGAGTTTCAGAAGAACTTTCTCAGTATTATCAAAAAATTATTCCCGGAATGAGCTAGAACTTATTGGTACTCCCTTGAAATTTTCCTCAAAATCCCTTCGGAATTTCAATCAGAAATTAATTTTCTCTGTTTTCTTTTCAGAATTATCTTGAAACTATCTGCAGAATTCACTAGAAATGAAACTGAAATTCCCCTAAACTTTCAGAAGAATTTCCTCTGTATTCTCCAGAAATTATTTCCAAAATGAGCTTGAAATTATCCTCGGAATTCCCTTGAAATTTTCCTCAACATCCCTTTGGAATTTCATTTAAAGTTTGATTCCCTCGGTATTATTTTCGAAATTATCTTGGACCTATCTGCAGGATTCACTAGAAATTATTCGCAGAATTTTCATGAAATCAATCTCAGAATTTTTTTCTTTTGGAACTGTCCTCAGAATTCAATACCCTTGAGGTTCTTCTCGGAAGTCATGTTTAAGTTGTCCGTCCATTCACCAAAACGTTGTAGTTTTTCTACCAGAAATGTTCAATAAAGCTTGCCCCTCCATTCACCAGAACTTTGCAAGTTTTACATCAGGAATTTTCAATTCAGCTTGCCCCTCCATGCAGCAGATTGTTGCAAATCCTACACCAGAAATTTTCAATGCAAGCTTGCCCCCAGGTAATTTTACACCAGACAATTTCAATTGCCCAGAACGATGCAAATTTTCCACCGTTAATGTTCAATAAAAATTGCTTCTCCAATCTTCTGATTGGCGCACATTTCTTTTTTTTTTTATTTTCCACCAGACATTTTCAATACATATTGCTCCTCCTATCATCAGAATGTTGCAGGTTTGCCACCAAATAAAGCTTGCCCCTCTTTTCAGATTTTTCATCATAAATTTTCAGTAAAGCAGCTTCCCTCCAATCATCAGAATGGTGCAGATTTTCCACCAGAAATTATTATTGAAATTTGTTTCTCTATTCAGCAGAAGAATGCAAATTAAACAACAAAAAATTTCAGAAAAGCTTTCCCATCCGTTCACCGGAATGGTGCAGATTTTCCACCAGAATTTTTCAATATAGCTTAATTTTAAATAAAGCCTGTGCCTTCATTTACCTGACCAGTGAAAGTTTTCTACCAGACATTTTCTGTTCATTTGCATCATAAATTTTCAGTAAAGCATGCTCTTCCATTCACCACAACGGTGCACCAAAAATTGTCAGTGAAGTTTGTTTCACCATGCACCTTTGTGGTGCAATTTTCAGACTTTCCACCATTAATTGTCAATGAAGCTTGTATTCATCAAAACGATGCAAATTATGTACCAGAAAAATGAATAAACCTTGCTTTTACATACACCACAGTCATGCGAACTTTCCTCCAGAAAATTATTGGCGTGATTCAATTTTTCCACCAGAGTTATTCATTTTGATTAGTTTCTCCATGTACCACCTTGATGATATTTTTACACCAGATATATTAAAAAAAAGCTATTTCTTCGATTTACCATCACGAAGGTGAATTTTTTCAACCTTAAATTTACCCTCTTAGCTAAAATACCAAAGAATAATACCAAAAAATTGCATGCAAAATACTTTGCAAATAACAAAAATTGATATTTGGATACCAAAAGAATACCTGTGTGGTATTGTTTTGGTATTGCATTAGCATAATTTGGTATTGGAATGGTATTGTGGGAACATTTTTTTGGTATTATTTTTTAGTATTTTACCTCTTATGTCATACTCATCCATACCAATTTAAGGTATCCAGATATTCGTTCATGCTCGGGATGTCAGGCTGATCAACACAAAATTTTGGTATCAGGTCAGAATGAGGTATTCATAAGTTATTTTCGCCTGCTCGTGATTTCTTGTGAAACTTTATGTCAAAATAGGATTAATTGGTATGTGAATTAAATTACTAGGTTTTATTTTGTAAAACCGTCCCAAAATAAAATTACAATTTCCAAACACCTTTCAATGGACCACGTGTTTCCGTTCAATCATTTGAGAGTCAACCGCACCGAAGGAATGCCAACCCCTTGTTGTTATTTCAACCAAAGCCGATTACCATACTAATGAGCCATTAGCCTACAAATAGTCCTTTAAAAATGTACAGCAACAACGTTTACTGCTCGCACCATCTGTCACTCTTACGTTGAAATCCTACGCATCCCTGTCAATTCCTCGAAGACACATTCCAGCAGTAAAATTTAAATTTTCTCTCTCGGAAACCCCGGAAACGAACCGTCCTTAAACACAATCGTAAAGTTTACCGTTTCATCCTATCTACCTATTGTTAATGTTATCCCTCGATGTTTTCTTCCGTGTTATTTCAGGAATCATCCGGCACGGGTCCTCCGCTAGCAAGAAATCCATATGGTAACGATGATGCAGGAAGAAAAAACAACTACACCCAAAGGAAACGGGGACTGTGTCGGCAGCTAAAAATAGTCCTCTCCCAGGAGGATGAGGTACCAACTTCTGAACTGAAAGTCGTAAATTTGGCAGGGGATGTAAAAACGTGTTTTTCCGAATCGTTTCAACTTTGCCGTGTTGCAGTGCACCCATAAACTAATTACATAATTGAAGGAATCTTGCCAGGGAAGAAGTGTTAAAGGATTTCGTGTAATTTAGTGATGGCAGTCTGAATAAACATTTACCGGTAAAGTTACCTTCCACAAGCAAGAAGTCAAAAAGCGAGGAGCAACTCATGCAAATCGGTGCCGTTGGGAAACTATCGAAAAGAGATTACAAGCAACCGGCATACAGAAGCAATTAAAGGAATTGGACTTGAGAGAATTAAGGGCGAGCACGTGATCGAATTCTCCGCAATCAAGGGAAAAAAACTCCCCGACTTTAGAATTATGTGAATCGTTGCTATTGAACCTTGAGACAAACGGCTACGGCGAAAGTGCCGAACAAAGACAATCCAACGACGTCGGATGCACTTGAGAAAATTGAAAACAGCGATTTGACCTTTTCGGGGTCGACCGTAGACAATGGGCATTCCGGAGCGTAAATAGCGAAAGTGATTAATTTTTGATCGCGCGGAATACGAACGACATGTTCGAGGAAGTGGAAAATTGAAAACGAAGATTCGTAGCCGTAGAAAATCGAGCAACTACTGATTCGTGTAAATATTTGAGAAACACCGTCGTCATCTCAAGTGGAGAATATCTCGACCGGTACAAGATGACAGCGAACAGGATGGAACTACTGCAGGCACTGTTTCTAATCACGACTGTGACAATCTGTCGATCGAAAGGTAAGTTTTGTACCGAGTTATTCGGAATCTACTGTTCCGTTCGCGTTTGATTGAAATGGAGTGGGATATTCATGAGCCTTGTCCGTTGCCGATGGGAAGATAATTTTGTGAAAGACGGCACTGCCACGGGTACCTGTCTGATGCATGGATGGTCGAGGATGGTTGGCCGACGTGGACAGGTCCTTTGTATAATGGATGGAAAAATAATCCTTCAATCAATTACCGGACGGATATCCTTTTACTGTAACCGTCTTGCTCGTTTGCTGGTGGGAGGTGGGACCTCCGCTAGTGGGTAGAGATTTAAAGATCGTACGCGGATGGCAGTGATTATGAATGGAAGTATTTGTTGTTGTTTTCGTTACCTGCTATTTTTTCTTCCCCAGAGGCTGCCATTTGTAAGAAAATGGAGTCGTATCAAACTTGCTACCCAACGCTCAAATTTTCAGGAGTACTATTTTATTAGGTGATCTTCCAAATACAATCAGTTTTCGACTACATCAGGGCCCGCCTACCCTATTTTCGAGCCATTGAATATGACGTCACAAAAACGCCTGTTGGGGTACATATAACATTGACTATTTCGACTCGAGATTTGACTAGATACCCCTGGAAACCCAGCACTGAACTTTTCATGAGTACTATTTTATAATGTAATCTCGATGAACATTTCAAATGGTCCTATCTGCTTTGATCGATTCTCTTCATCGACTTTCTCTTTTCATAACCACTGCTATGCAAACATATTTCGCGCTAATTCTACCACACAGTTTGATAAAGGAGGTTCTTATCTAGCGTCCGAAACGTCAAATACAACAGGGAAAGGTTTTGCAGCTGAGTTATTAACGAAAGAGAAAGTCGCCCAACTAACATTTTCAGCTTTGTAAGCCAACTTTTCCAGCGTTGTGCTGTAAAGTAGCTGAAAAGAAGCTGCAGATACAGCTACAAGCAAAAGCTAGCAAAATAGTTTTGGTGAGCGTTTACTCAACTTTCTCACAACCATTATTCAATTTGTCAGTCGCACTGAATAACATCAGCCAATAAACGCTAATGTCACTTCTATACTCACACTACCCAACTTTCAACTTGTAGCTGCAAAACAAAGCTAACAAAGTGAATATGTTACTCATTTGATGGCTTCTACACAACCAACCACTCTTGCTGAATAACATAAACATCAAAAGTGCTTTTTCAACAACTAAACAACCTGTACTCAGCTTATAAACTGTGTTAGAGCAACTTCGGAAGCATTTTCACAGTCAACTAGGTTTATTTTTAGACGTGTGCAGTTTTACAGCTTTTACTCTGTTCTTTTATAACTAGTCGAGAAAAGTGATTCATGTGTACTATTTTAAAGCCTCTACCCAGCGATTTTGTTGTAGAAGGGAATGTTGATTTGTTTACATAAGTTCAATGTGTTGGCGTAGCACAGTTGGTAGTGTCAAGGTTTGCCAATGAGGTCGTCTCGAGTTCGATTCCAGGTTCCGGTGCAGGGTTAATAATTTGGTGATGATTTGTAACTAATTTCGATTAATTTGATTCACAGCAAAATAAACTCAATAAATTCCTTCATAAAAAAGCGTAAACAGTATTTAACTCGGTTTCAAGAGAAAGCTGTGTAGTGATTATTGGATTTGGATAACCGGGAAAAGGTTGAATAAGCGCCTTTCAAGTTCACACACAACTAAACAGCAGGATAACAGCTGTATAGAAGCGTTAATGGATATGCGATAAGAGCTTCTCCCGACCGTTCCTACAGCCATAAGTAGCTGACTAAGTTCGCCAGATTTGCTTGTATAGAGGTTGAGTAAAGGTTTCCTCATATCGTATAACGTTTGAATACAGCTTGAGACTGTATAAATGAAATGAGTAAAGCGTTTACATTGCGAAAATTGTTAGTTTGGGCGTTCAATATGGCGTCACAAAACCGTCCGATGGGCTGCATATAATATTGACATTTTCGAATCGAGATTTGGCTAGGTACCCTTCAGTACCCAATGCTGAAATTTTCAGAAGTACTATTTTATAAGGTAATCTTCAAAATACAACCAGTTTTAGACCCCGCCAAGGCCCGCCCACCCTCTTTTCGAGCCGTTGAATATGACGTCACAAAAACGCTTCATGGTCTGTGCATCACATTGATGTCAATGAAAAGCATTGGTGTATTCATAAAACAGCAAAAAAGGTTATCTTCCATTTAATTCCACTTAATTAATTTTGGTATCCATGTCGTGGATACCAAAATTAATTAAGTGGAATTAAATGGAAGATAACCTTTTTTGCTGTTTTATTTAGCATTCCGCTAACAACCCAATTTCATTACTTCATTGGTGTATTCAGCAAAGTTGTATATTTTAATGATGCCAACAATTTCTTAGAACATGATAAATTGATCAACTTTGAAAAAAGCACTAATTAACTCAAAAAACAATATTAAAGTAGGGTTAAAGAAAATCTACCGTTCCGATTCAAATTTCGGACACTTTCATTTTTAATTAAATATTACATCCAGTTAGAAACAAGGTAATAATGTTAGATGATCGTGGAGGGCACTAGTCAAAAAAATTTAAAATTTACAAGACATGTGGATCATATTCGACCGAGATAATCAACTTTTAAAAGTGTCCGAAATTCGAGTTTAAGTGTCCGAAATTTGAATCGGCACGGTATTACAGGGCGGACTCGATTATCCGGAGTCTTGAAAAAAATTTCACTCCGGATAATCGGCCCTCCGGATAATAGAGCCATCAAAAAAAAAATTTTTTTTTTGGTCTTATGTGGTCTCATTTAATGTTTTAGTGGTTCCATTGAACGCTTTTGAAGGATTATGGAATCGGACCACTGGTTTTGTAGATATGGCCGGAACAAGTTCCGGCGTTTATGGGCCATGAGAATAAATTATACTTGAAAGGAACAAAACCCATTAAGCGACACATAAAATTAAATCAAAATTTGATATCAAGATCAATGGTGGAAAAAATTAAGTACCTTGGACCATATTGGCCACTTCCGGACAAGTTCCAGGTTCCCCGGGAAAGTGACCAGAATCGGACTTGGATAATAACCTATCATGAGGCACATTAAAATCTCGAGATCTTGACCAGATAGAAAATTACTGTCTTCGGCAAAGTTGTTCTAGAGATCATAATCTTTTCGCTGGTGGAGAGTAGTTCAGAATTTTCTCTCTACGTAGCGCTAGAATACATGTGAAATTATCGCATGTGATATATCTCGAGATCATGACCAGATAGAAAATAACTGTCATCGACAAAGTTGTTCAGAAGGTCAAGGCCTTTTCGTTGGTGGACAGTAGTTCGGTGTTTTCTCACTTCGCAGCACTAGTATACATGTAAAACTCTCGCATATATAAAAAATGTCTTCAGCAAAGTTTTTCAGGAAGTCCAGATCTTTTCGTTGGTGGAGTAGTTCAGAAAATTCTCACTACGTGGCGCTAGTATATACATGCAATTTGCGCATATACAATAGCTCGAGATCCTGAGCAGATAGAAGTTACTGTCTTCGGCAAACTTGTTCAGGGTGTCAAGTAGTTTTGGCTGGTGGACAGTAGTTCAGAATTTTCTCACTACACGGCGCTAGTATAAACGTGAAATTCTCATATAAAATATCTCGAGATCCTGACCAGATAGAAAGTTACTGTCTTAGGCAAAGCTGTTCAGGAGATCATAGCTTTTTTGCTGATTAACAGTAGTTAAAAATCTTCTCACTAGTGGAGGCGAACCAGTGGAGGCGAACCAGCCCCAGGCTGAAAGCCTCCCTAATAAAGATAAATCAATCAATCAATCTTCTCACTAGGTAGTGCTCGTATACATGTTAAGTTCTCGCATGTGATACATCACTAGATCCTGACGAAATAAAGAATAAATGTCTTTGGCAAAGTTTTTCAGGAAGTCAAGATCTTTTCGTTGGTGGACAGTTGTTCAGAATTTTCTCCCTACTCGGTGCTAGTATACACATGGAATTCTCGCATATACAATAGCTCGAAATCCTTAGCCGATAGAATGTTACTGTTTTCGGCAAACTTGTTCAAGGGGTCAAGATTTTTTGGCTGGTGGACAGTAGCCTAGAAATGTTGCACCACATGGCGCTATTTAGTAAACGTGTACAACTATCGCGTATGCTAAGTTTAAGATTCTGAACAGGTAGAAAATTACTGTCTTCGAAAAAGTTGTTCATGAGGTCAATGCCTATTGCTTGGTGCATAATAGTTCAGAATTTTCACATTACGTGGCGCTAGTATACACGCAAAATTCTCGCATGTAAAATATCTCGAGATTTTGATCAGATAGATTTCTCTAGTGGACAGTAATTCAAAATGTTCTCACTACGTAGCGCTAGAATACACGTGAAATTCTCGCATGTGGTTTGTTTCAAGATCCTGACCAGATAGAAAGTTACTGTCTGCAACAAAGTTATTCAGGAGGTCAAAGTCTTTTGGCTGGTGAACAATAGTTTAGAATTTTCTCATAAACTCTAGGCTTTAAACTCCTGAACAACTTTGTTCAAGACAGTAACTTTCTATCTGATCAAGAACGTTAGATATTTTATATGCGAGAATTTCACATGTATACTAGCATCATGAAATGAGAAAATTCTGAACTACTGTCCACCAGCCAAAAGACCTTGACCTCCTGAACAACTTCCTATCTGATCAGGATCTCGAGATATGCATATGCGAGAAGTGTACATGTATACTAACGCCACGTGGTGAGAAAATTATTAACTACTGTTTACCAGCCAAAAAGTCTTGACCCCCTAAACAACTTTACCGAAGACAGCAACTTTCTAGCTGATCAAGATCTCGAGCTATTGAATATGGGAGAAATGCACGTATATACTAGCACCGCATAGTGAGAAAATTCTAAACTATTGGGTGACAAAAAGATCTTGACTTTCTGAAAAACTTTACCGAATACATTTACTTTCTATCTGGATCTATATCTAGAGATATTTTATATGCAAGAGTTTCACATCTATAGTAGCGC